CTCTATGAGAAGAAAGCTGTAGCAGCATTAATACTTGCAGCCTTGCCAAGAATGTGGCCACACACCTCAATAGGTGGGGCCAATGGTGAGTGGCCCTCTGTGCTGCCAGGTATTAAGAAGCTGAAGGTGAACCCTGGTCACACTGCCTCAGCGCTGAACCAGGACCTGGGCCCCACCTTATTGCTTCATGATATACGGCTTTCCTTTGGACACCAATCGTAAGTAAGACTGACACACAGAGAGAACAGAGATTGTCTATAGCCCTTGCTTTATTTTGTCCTCTAAATGAAGCTCTAACATGAACAACCTATTCTAAAGTTGGAAACGTGACATTTTTAGCCCCATGAGAGAAGTGTTTTTTAAAAGCCACGTGGATGAACAAATAATTATTTGAGACTCAGATAAAGTGCATTATCACCATTTTGGCCATGTGGTTTCAAGCTCCTTCGGGTGTTTGGGGGAGCGTACCAGGGTAGGCTGTACTGTGAAGAAAAAGCCAGGTCCCCTGACTCCAGCAATGTAGGCTGCGGATTTGACCTCCAGGGTCAGCCTGCCAAGATTCTGTTAGTGCAAATCGCATTGCTCTGCACATCCACATGGAAACAAAGCGATAGGAAATGAGCTTACCGTAGAGTGGTGTGGTGTTCAAAGACCTGGTCTAAGGAAGCACCCTGGTGGTATACAGATCCTGGCTCTGTGACCACATGCGTAACAGGAAGGGGTTGTACAATCGTGATTTAATTTTATTTTTTGAATTGTTAATGATGTCAGCATCCTTTCATATATTCATTGCTTGCATCTTCATTTTTGAAGTACTTATTCAAATCTTTAGTTCATTTTTTATACAGCATTGTATTTTTCTTATTGATTTGTAGGACTTCTTTATAGATTCTGGATATGAGCCTTTTCAGCTATCCTTTCCCATTTTGTGGCTTGCCATTTTACCCTCTCAATGATATTTTTTGGGTGAACTTTTATCTCTTAGCTTGAATTTAATGTAATAGCTTATTTG